CTATAAGGTCCTTTTCAATCCAAACAACTCTACAATTCCATGACTCTACATTGCGATTTTCATTTGCTTAAACTAAAGCTACATTGTAAGGTTATTGCTTCTTCAAATTACTTAACTGTCTGAAAATTTAGAGGAATTTTGCTAGCTGCCAGCTTCACATATTCAGCAAAATGTATGAATGCTCATGAGGATTTCATTAGTTTCCAGTAAAATTAAACAAGGTTTTCTGTGGCAACCCAATAACATTTAATTCAGTTAGAAGTATACAAAGCAAACAGTCCAATCTGTCTTTCAGATTCAGATATTTTTAGAATTAGCACCTCGTAGAACAGGGGAGACTCAGAGACTGAAAAATGTTACAGAAGTAAAGTTTGAAATGCTATAGTAGGTGGGAAAATACACTGAAAAATTGCCACTGGGAATGGTTCACAGGGTAACTTCAGCTGGTTCAATCCATGGCATTCTGCATACCCTCAGCTGCTGGTCACTGCTCTGGTCTGCAGCATGCAGCTATATTCTACTGTATTCAAAAATATCACATTGCATGGTTTTGAATTGCCTAGGAGACCAAAGCCAGCAATCCAACTATACTGGCTTCAAAAGCAGCATCCCTGGAGCTTCCCTGGTGGCTCTTCCTTATTTCCAGTGACCCACTGAAGTCAAACTGTCCCAGTTACTGTACTCCCTCTTTGAGCTGTATCATGATGAAAGCAATAGGGCCTACACAGATCTTGCACAGGTACTTCATCTTTTCTTTTCAGCAGGCTTCATAAAACATAGAGTGCATGGATGGTTGTCTGAGCAGAAACAGACAGAAATCTTTCCAAGTCCTAACTTCCCAACTCTTCCTATGTCCCCCAAATTTCTACAAGCATACTGGAGGAGGTTCAGGATATCTGATATCTCAGCTTACACACACTTAACCTTATTTTGGTCTTCTCTTACCCGAACTTCTCCTCACCATATTTCCAACCAATCAACTCCCATCCAAATCTCCAAGTCCAACACCATTAATTTCTCAGAGTAGCAGAGAAAACTGGCTTCATTGGTTGCTTCTAGTGCATTCCTTTGGAGTACTTTAACTTGTAGAATGCTTCCTTGAAATTATTACTTTATGACTACTTCCCATCCTTAGCTTTTCAATTTAGAGACTTTGCTAACATCTGAAATACCAAATCAAGGCAGTGAAGCATGAAGCAAGACACCGAGCATGAACTGTGGCCTCAGGTAATATTTCAGCCTTAAGTAACTTCAGAGAAATGGAAAAATGAAGGTTTAAGCACTTTAAAATTTTATGGTTTCAAGTCAAGAAAGTTACAAGGTGTAGCTAAGTACTTAGCTAGTTGAAATTACCTCTGAGCATTAACCAATTATTTTAGTAACATATGAATGCCCATTGCATGGCTTAAAAGGAAGAAAAAAATACCCAAGGAAACATGGAATACTCTTCCTAACTTTAATTCCCATAAAACTGTCATAAAAATAAAAACAAGCAAGGGGGAGAGGAATAATTAGACAATTTTCCTGTTGTTTCAAGTGCTTCCTGTACATCTATCATACTCTCCCATTCATAGGGACCAAGTAAGCTAAGGTGTTTCACAGATTATGCTGGCTAGAGTACCTTGTAATGATTTTTGCCTGCCTAATGCCTCTTGCAACAGGAAGACCAAACACTGGTTTTAATACTGTATCTACATTCAACAGTCTTAGTTTGACAAGTGGCTTTCCTGCTTATAGATCTGGTTCAAAGAAGTTGCTGCTATCCAGGTTAATCAACTTTGTCTACTCCTGAAATAAAACACCAGTCAAGAAAAAATGTTTGGACTTTCAAAGGAGCTTAAGAGAATTAGACTCCCAAATCCTATTAGGTTTCAATGCAGCTGGAAACCTAACTCTTCAAAAAAGAATTTAAAAAAATATTAAAAAATTGAAGCCGAGAAGTACAGAGAGGCAGAAACCCTGCAGTTTCATGAAAACATGAAGAATAGGGGGAAAAAAAGATCAGCCTGAATTATCCCTATGAAGTAACTGCTTTGTTCTAAAACTCATTTTTTCCTGACTTTTCCATATTCATTTTACAGTAATTAATTTTGTATCTCATGTTCATTTATTAAATGGAATTAGGCAAAGAAACACACTGAATTTTCAGCAAAAAAGTTCTTAAAGATTGGTTAAGCATTACAGATCTGAAAAACAAGTCATCTATTTATCACTTACTAAATATATGAAATAAATTACTCAAAATTTTAACTTCAAAATTTAAAATGTTTATAGGTTATTTGTACATGTATGGAAGAAAGAGAGGCTATCATACAACTAAATATAAATTAAATTTTTTTTATGTTACATGTGGTTTTAGCTAATTGTTTTATCTGCAGTCTTTTGTTATCAAAAAAACAAGAACACACCTCTATCAAACAGAAGCATCCTAAAATCTTCACGGTAACTGTATGAAGCCACCTGCCTTATCTGTGCAATTGTTTATGACATTTGCACTTCATCATTCAAACTGACTCAACACTCTGTTACAAGTATGTCTTTTAACAGACAAATTAATCTGGGTATCACATAACATACTTTGCACTATTCAGTTCCTCTCTATGAGGAAATAAATATCCCCTGACTTTGTATTCAACACTATTGTTTTAATTTCTGCCTTTTCCATACAGGCAGGCAAAACAAGGATTTTTTTGATCTTTGTGTTTTAGAGAAACAATTCTTATGACTTGAACCCTGCACTGACTGAGCTTCCCAAATAACATTTTGAAGAATTGCTGTAAATCTAAGGAAATCAGAGGCTCCCAAGTTGTTCTTTTCACAATGATCCTTACAGTTTAGAGTTTATTTTCTGTTTCATTTTTTTGCTATAAATTCCACACATGCCTTAGCTTACTAATTAACCACTAGAGAAAAGGAGCGTGCCTGCAGTTCCCTGTACTAGAAGGGCCTGAACTTACTAATGAAGTGTCCCAATTACATTTCAGTCTAAGTCTTTTTCCTCACTATTTTCATACACTCGGGCAAACAAACAAAACCAAGTCTTTTGAATTATGCTATTAACCGTCACTGAGGAATCTGAAAGCTGGGAGCAAACAATGCCAGCAGAAGTAAGCTAAGACTAAGACTTCGTTCATATTTAAAATTTCATTTGCTCTCATGAAGCAGAGCTTTCCCTTTCACATGAAGTCAGATTACAAGGCACATGAAAGCAGATGCACTCTTTGCCACAGACAAAGTATGCACGAGATCTGTCATGCCTGACTTTTACAATTCAGTTACAGCAGAGAGCTGTTCAAGTTTAACTTAGCAATGCCTCTGACAGCCAACGGTTTGCTGATATATTTGCTCTTAAAACACTGAACACTTTCCTCTCTCCTTCTTCCAGCATGCCAGTATCTTCCATTTTATCAGTCCTGTAGACTAGGGGTCACGCTTGATTTCTTTCTTTCTTTCTTTCACTTCCCCTGTCTTTATTAAGTCCATGAACAAGTCCTGTCATCTCCCACAAAGAGTCAAAAAATCCCTTTCTTCCTGTTTTGCCAGCTTAGGTTTATCTCTAATAATTTTCCACTCAACCTAGCAGAATTATTTCTTATCAGATCCTTTTGCATCAGACATGCAGATACTAAATAACCTCTCATTTTACTTATGCAGGCAATATTTCTGACCCTTCAATTACACCTATTGGGCAGTGCCATTCACTCCAAACCACCTCAGTACTTTCCTACCAATGCTTTGACAGAGTCCAACTCATAGTGTCTTTCTTAGAAACTTTCTTAAAGTCTTAACTAAGACTAATTTATGTCTGTTTGGGGGTTGGGCGTTTTTGGGGGTGGTTTTTTGGAGGGGCTTTGTTTTGTTAGGGTTTTTTGGGTTTTTTTGGGTTTTTGTTTTGGCTTTTTTTTTTTTTTTTTTTTGTTGTTGGTTTTCTTTCTAAATACCAGGGTATGGTACAGACAGCAAAGTCACACTAGGATGTCTGTGGCATTCACCTGAGGCCAGAAAACAGAACAAAACACCTTCACGGGTCCTATGTCCTCCTGCAGAGACAGCCAAAACAATATAGGATGGTCAGTGTAATATTGGGAAACTAGTTTTCTCCTTTTCTCCTTGCTTCCACCCTTTCCATGTTGTATCTACACTTGCCGAAGAAATTTAACCTTTAGACTGAAGAGCTCAAAACTCCAACCTTCACCTTCTACTTCCTCTATAAATTAGCAAGAAAAAAACACAACTGAGTTTTAAGCATCTGTCAAGCAAGTTTTCAAGTTTCAGCCATTTGCCTTTAACACACTTCTGAGCTCCCATTTGAAGCAAGCGCACATCTAAAAATTTTAGTGTTGGTCAGACTCAGATAATAAATAATTACTGGTTTATTTCAAAACCAATTAATAGAAATCTCTGCACAAATTTAAGGCTAGTGACACAGCCAAGGAACTTGCCTGCCTGACAGGAGATTAAGCAAAAGGTTGCAAGCATCTTTAACACTATGTCTCTGGACTAGATACAACAGGCCTCTCACATTATACTTTTTTTAAAGTGTTGCATGCAGATCAATAGTCTCCTTGAAAATTCTCTCACCCTAAGACTGATGCCTACCAGATTACCAAATATTTTTCATTTATCTAAATGACAATTTTCTATCTGTTGTGTTAGGCAATTTCTTCTTCTACAAAGAGAACCTGTAACAAAAACAAGCTCCTGCCAGAGGATGGTAACACAGTGCATTAGATCCATCTAAATCACTAAGGTACAGGCCAACTGCTAAGGACAGATAAATGTGTCATCTTGCAAAACATCTGGTGGCAAAACACCTCAGTATCCCTTCAGGTATGAAGGGTTTTCAACAGTCTAGGACAGATTAAACCTTTCCATTCTCTCCTATAGGAAGATGGGGGTGGTACCAAGCAGAATCCAAAAAACCTTTAGAATTTCAAAGGCTGCAGAAAAGCTACATAAACAGTCATATAATACACTGCAAGGGCAGGGACAGCACTCACAGAATACACTGGGACACCAGACTTCCCCACTTCTGCTATGACATCTCTCGCTGTCAAAGGAGAAGGCTGAAAACAAAGGGCATACAGAGTCACTAGCATGAAAATAAACTGCTCAAATGTGTGTTGGTGGCAGGAATGCATAGAGGTGGATTTAGAGGTACAAGGGGAATTAGAGGGAATGGAAGGCCAGCTCACGTGTAGTATCACGGCCACACAGATCTCAATCACAGGAGAATTTTTCTTGCACACTTTACACTGAAGCATGATATAAGACACAGCAATACTACCACGTAGCTCTTCTCTTTCATGTAAAACATAATATGACAAACAGCATTTAGACCTCAGAAGAGACACTAAGGATCACTTAAAAACACACCACATAGTTGAAATATTAACAGGATTTACATATGCAGACTGAAAGAGCAGGATATTGTGTTAAAATCCCCTACACTTCAGGCCGATTTAAATATTTCAGTTTCACTGGGATTTAGGCAAGAAACCTGAAGAAATTGACCAGCAACGCTTTCATTGCTAAACAGACGTGTACGATTTTGACATTTGTAGTTTGCAGTACAGACTACAAATGAACGAGTAATGTCGACATTCCTAAAGCACTTCAAAAACCCCACAGAAACGCAATTCCACTGTAGCCCTGCATTGGTTTCTCTGTAACTCAGCGACGAAAAGTGTCGCGGGGAAGGCGTCCGAGCAGGGCAGCTACGTTTTCTGTCCCGTATCCAGGCGCTGGAGGCGGATCCCGGCCGTGGACTCCCCCGCGCGCGGCTCCAGCCCTTCGGGCCGGCTGCGCTGCAGGACACCGGCGGCTGCTGCCGTTGAAGGGGCCCGCCCGCCACTCTTATCGCCCGAGGGGCTGCAGGGCGTGCGTGGCGCAGATACACCGCGGAGCCAGGGAGCGCGCCTTCATCCCCTTGCCCCACCGGCGGGCCGAGCACCGTCACAGAAGCTGCTCCGGGACCCCCGGGCTTGGGCCGCCTCCGGGGCCCGCCTGCGCCGCTCGGCGGGGGAGGAGCCGCTGCTGAGCCAGTTCGTTCCCCGCCGCCCGGGCAGCGCGGAAACGGGGAGGCGGCGCGGCCGCCTGCGCCTCAAGTTGGCGGAGCGCCGGCGGGGGACGGGCAGACCCTTCCCGCCCACGAGGAACGCGCACACTCACCCGCCGAGCCTCCGGCGACGACTTGGTGAGAGGCCTCCTGCAGAAAGCCCCGGGGCTGCCGAGCCATCCTTACCCGCGCCGCGGCGGCGACGAGAGGGAGCTGGCGCCTGGAGAGCGGCTGCGAGCCGGGGCCGAGTCCGCGCTGGGCGGCTGGGGAAGCGCCTGAGGGGCCGCGGTTATCTGCGGGCGGGAGGGGGAGCCGCGAACGCCGGGGGCGGGGGCGCCGGGCTGCGCGGCCCCGCGGCGGCCTTTGGCAGCCGGCCCCGGGCAGAGGGCGGCCCCGGGCACGGCTCGCAGCTGCGGCAGCCTCTGTCTCTCAGAGCAGAGCCGGGACGGCCGGCGCTGCGATCGCCCGGGCTGGGGCGGGGGACGGCAGCCGATCGCCTGCTCAGGCTCGGGCCGTGCACTCCCGCCTCGGGGCTGGTGCCATACAGCGCGCATCCTGCTTCCCCACCGCTGCTGGGACCCAGCTAGCACCCGCACATCCTCTGCTCATCAACTTCTAGGAAGGATCGGTGGTGCTGCTGGGCTCACAGACTGTCTTTTTGAAATCTACTGTCCTTTTAAAACCTTTAGTCTAAAGGTTGGTTCCATCTCTTCGATGTTCGACGAGTATTTTGTCACTTGGAGAGTAACTATTACATGTGTTACAGGGACCTGTGGGCCCATCTTAGTAAACAAAACGGTGACAGGGCACGGGGTGGAAGGGGTCGGACATAGCACCATTGCGGACAGCCCCCAGCACTGCTTTCGGCAAGGCCAATTTCTGCTTTCCAGAAGATGTCCGAGTACAATGTGGGGGACAGCATGGGCTCATCCCAGAGGCAGCACCATTGATGGGCAAGACAGTTGAGAGGGATGTTCTGATACATTAGTTTGCTGAGTGCCTGCGAGTGTTTTGTGATAGTTTAGCCACAAATGTTGCTAACTGACTAGAGGTTCCAGCCTTAAAAGGAAATGTAGCTTTTTGTAAAGCAGAACAAAGGTTAGAGCAAAGCAACAGGATTATTGCTACTGAAAAGGATGGGAACGTAGGAAATATACAGAGAAGTGTTAATAAAATGTTATAAGACCAGAACCCTGATTGCAAAAAGGAATAATAGTCAGGTATAGTGTTCAGTTATATCACTTGAATGCATCAGCAAATAAACAATAACATGAATTTTTGATCTATATAGGAGCTGAGTGCAGATTGCTGTGGGAATACAGAATAACTCCCTTAAATTAATAAAACTTGAATGTGCTGACCTTTAAGTAATTAAAATCTCAACTTCAATATTTCATTAGCATTTCCCTTAGTTCCCTTGATTTGGTTCCTTGATAATGCTGCTCAGTAAATACTCCTGGACGATCAAGTCTCCAGTGTTCCCTTTCATCAAAAAGCAGATGCTGAAGCATCACCACTTTTTTGTTCCAGAGATGTAGGTCTCCCTGTGCAATGTTCTCTTGGGTACAAATAGCAAATCTAGTATTAAGGTGGACTTTGCTACAGTATTTCGACAGCAAAGAGAGTTTGGAGTTCGTCAGAGTGCAGAAACTGGTCAGATAGATTTGTTTTCTGCACGTGTCCCTGCATCAAAGAGAATAATGGCCAGAGTGCATGTAAGTTACACAGATATTCACACAGTAGCATAACACCTGCTCCTTAAAAAAAAAAAAAAAACAAAAAAAACAAAACCAAACAACCTCTGCTATTGTTAGGAAACAATAAGTTGTTTCACAGTATTCAAATTCCAAATCTATGCCCCCTAATTCAGTTCCGCAACTGGAAGTCTCTCTGGCACATTTCCCTTATTTTCCATACGCCCCTCCCTCCTGTCCCACAAAGGGCAACCTTCCCACTGTGCAGGTTTCCTAAAGCACTTCTAGGCTTAATCCTATTTCCATATGGCCTCTTCCGAAACCATGAGCACCACTGCATTCTTTCCCTCGATATCCCTGGCAGGGTCTGTCACTCCGTTTGTGGTTACTGCATCCCTTACTAGGAAATTCCGTCCATCCTGGGCAGCACGCCAGCGCTAACACCCGAGAAGAAACCACAACTGGCTGTGCGGGGGCAGGACGGGCAGGAGAGACCCCCCTCCCCGAGCTGCGCTGCTCCCACCCGGCCCCACCGCCCCCGCCCGGCCCCGGGGGCCGGAGTGCGCAGGTAACGGGGCGGCGGGGCCGGGTCGGGGCCGCCCCGCGGCGCTCGGGTTGGAACTCGCCCCATCCTCTGCGGCCGGGCTCGGCGGCGGCGGCGCGTCCCGCCGAGGCGGCGTTAGGTCGGGCCGCTCTGCCCCCAGCGCCTCCCCGCGGGCAAGCGGCCCTGCCCGGCCTCCTCCGCCCCCGGGACCGAGCCGCCGCCGGGCCCTTGCGCACTGACCGGCTGCATGTGCCGTGGCAGCCCCTTGGCTGGGTTAGTGTTACCTCCCCGTGGCCGCCGGGCGACCCGGCTTGCTCGACTTGCTACCCGCTCCGCAGCTGGAGATAGGGGGAAGCAAGTTTGCCGTGCCGGGATGCGCGATTTGGAGTCCCAGAGACTGCGGCTTTGCGGGACGGGAAGGGACGGACGGGCTGCCGCCTCCCGGGAGGGGGTCGGGACAGTCCGAGATGAAACCTGCCCCGAACAAATTCAGGAGGTCGGTGCTGGATCTTTAATGTCAGATGAGGACAAACTGTGGAAGATGCTCGGCATTGTAGTAATGCATTAAAAAAAAAAAAAAAAAAAAAAAAAAACCGCACCAAAAGAACTTGTCAAAATAAAGTTTGTGCTTTTTAAAAATATTTATGATTTAAAGTTGCTTACGAAATCCAGATGAGCTGTATACCTCAGCTCCTGTTGTAATTCCTGCTATTCAGAATTCCACCAATTCAGAATGGTGATGTGAGGGTCTGTTTCTTCTGAGGAAAAAGGCTATGGTTTCTTAGTGTGAAGAGTCTGGGACAAAAACATTCTGTAAATGTACCCAAAGGACTATTTTACCTGCGACAGAACATCCTCTGATGTTTGTCCATGGAAAAACTACAGCTGGGCCTAGGTACAGCTTCAGGGGCTTGAGGTGATTGGAGATGTGTTGCTGTAAGAGTTTGTTTGGCCCAAGTTTGGGAATTCAGAGTGTCCTGCAGCACCACAGAGACTTTTGAATATTCCAGCAAGTTCTACCTCCAGTTAGAACAGTCTTAAATTGCAATGCTTTAGCTGTGGAAGAAAAATCAGTTCAGCACAGCATTGTGCTTTCTGGCTCAGAAGATCTCAGAGCTGCAAATCTTGGAGGTTCTAGGATCTGTGGGGTTTAGGGAAGTGCAGTGATGTGCTTGCCTTGTTCTTGTACCTGTCCTTGAGCATCCGTACTTGACCAGTTCTGCTCTGGGAATATACAACTCTGGTTTAATTTGAGACCACTTGTTTCAGATTATTTGTTTATTTAAATATGTTATGATACTAGCTTATAAATCCCATGAGGTTTAACAAGAGTTAAAACTGTCATGCCAGTTAAACATGCTGCTTATAGTAAGTTCTGTTTTGTTTTATGTTGCTGTTTAGTACCCAGAATGTTGTCATTCATGACAAGGTTCTTCAGCTGTGTGAGACAGAGCTATGTACATCAGTGAGGAGCCATCAGTTTGATGGTTATGAGCTCTTCTGCCCTGTCACTGGTAAAGAGATTAGCACTGATTTCAGGATCTTGAAAGATATAAACTTGTCTTGCCTGTCCAGCTAAGAAGTTACTGCAGTTCTGGTTGCAGTAGGAAAAGTGAAGAGAGGGACTGGGATGTGAAATTATGTATAGTATTTAAGAAGGTAGGGACAGTTGCTGCTATTAGTTTCTGTAGGTATTTCAGGTTTTCTTGCAGTGATGCTGCAAGTTCCTTACAGTTTGTAATGGCGACTGCTGCCCAATAGTAGTGGCTAACAAATCAAATTTTAAAACTCTCTTCCCCAGTTTTCACATGATAACTAATTATATTTCTTGCCTTTTTGTTTGTTTGTTTGCTTGCTTTGTTTCTGGATTTACTTAATTTCTCTTTTAGTCATTAGTTTGCCTGTTTGGGGTAAGGAATTGCTACTTTTCTTCACATTCTGTTAATCTATCTCCCTGCTTGTTAAAAGTCATTTTAGATGCTGCTAAATTAGAAATGCATTGTAATGGTGTTAAACTCTTTCCCTGACCAGTAAGAAGCAAAACAAGGTTTTGTTTCAGGCTTAGTATTTCTCTTGCAGCAAAACAAATCCAGCATATTGTATTACTGGCAGAAATAGTATGATGCTGATGCCACATGACCCACATGTTGCTTTTTGCAGTTTGTGGGGGTTTTAGTTTCAAAGAGTGCCTAGGTTAGTAAAAAAATAAGGGAGTTTTCAGATCTTGCTAGAAGAGGTTAGGGGAGAAGAGAAAATAAACGTTTGATAGTTCTCTGGGGAAAGAATCAACAAATTATTCATTAGAATTTAAAGCAAGAAGATACACGTGAGCTGAGAGTGAAGGGGAAGAGCATCCTGCCTATAGATCACAGATATGTGTAAAATTAGTTGCAAACTTGAGAGATATGCTAATGGATCTTAATGCTACCTATTTTTTAGTCTGCTAAACACAGAGCAGAACAGATGCTGCGTGTTGATGGCAGTGAAATGCCATAGTGCAATGATTTTAAGCTATGAATTGGTGATCTGACTTGATGCTCACTTTAGTGCAGATCACCCAAATCAATGCAGAAGCTTCTTCTCACTTTTACGTCTGTTATCCTATGTGGGTAATTGATGTTTTGAAACTTACCTTTGAAACAAGCAAACAACCCTTGTTTGCTCAGACTATTGACAGATTTAACCGCAAGCTAATGTTGCAACTGACAGATATTTCTGTAAGTATGACTGCTGCCTTTCTCCTTTTCCTTTGAAAGGAAGATGGTTTTGAAGGAGTAAAAGAACCAGAGTATTGAACCTTTATTTGCAGAACAGATACAGCTATGGAAAGAACCAGTGTGAATGCTCAGTTGTTAAGATGATTCTCTGCTGCTTTCAGCCATCAGTTTTTTAAGTGACGGCATGCTTGGCGTGCTCCCTGCTAGTTTTGTGAGGAAGCTCCCTGCTTGCTTCATAACAGCAGGCTTCTGTTTTCCATGATGATTCTTGATGTGGACCTTTGTCCCTTAGAGACAGGTTAAAATGCAAACTGACAGTTTCTGCAGAGTGGTGGCCTTTGGTATAG